TTCTAGCGGTATAGTTGAAAGGTATAAAAATAACTATAAAAAAATACAAAAAATAAAAACCTAATATATTTTTAGTACTTTTTGGGTTTTGGTGGTGCTGAGTTGTTTAGGATGTTCTGGATACATCACAACATTGTTCTGGGGTAGATATGCTAGTAATCCAACTAGAACTATAGTCCAAAGTAGTCAAGCACCTCCTAGTACTATAGCTTTTCCCAGTGTGACTATATGTAATTTTAACATAGAACTTACTAGTAAAATAGAAGATTTCATATCCAGGCTGTAAGACAAAGCTACTGTAACATTTAAAACGATAAAGTAAAGAAAAAATATTAATATTATAGTGAACAATAGGCAGTAGGTCAGAGAATCATATCTCTCTCTGTCATATTCAATATCTCTAATGTTGAAGAACAAGAAATATTTAATAGAAATCATATTACAATTCTTAATCATGATTACTGGGCCAAGTGTAAAGCATTCCTGATGTTTTATATATCTTTTGCTCTTTTTCCATTTTTACCATTTTTGTACGTGTCGTTTTAACAATTTTGAAAATGTATATAAGAACTTATTTGTTATAAACACAAATTCTATTCATTATTGTCAAATTTGAGTTAAAACGTAATATATTAGTACTATATAAAGTTATACAATAGAGATCATATAGATCATACCAAATAAACTTTTAGTGACGTGATTAAGATTGACCGGCACAGCGTTGCCCACTTTTATATATTTTATTTTAATCAAAATATTTTAGGAAACAAAAATAAATTAATTATAAATATACAGGGTTGTTCACCACATACGACATGGAGTATTGTAGCTAAACGATTACATTTTTACAAATTTCAAGTTTTGGGTTCGATGAAGGACTATTAGAGGTACAATTTAAAAATAATTTACAAAATACAGAGTGTCCCAAATAAGTAAAAAATATCAAAGTTGTATTTTTTTAAATGGAACACCCTGTATATTATTACATTTATAGTTTCTACGATTAAAATAAAGGTAAATTTGATTAAGGTTTATTACACTTAAACCTTACCGTTTTTGAAATATTTTCAATTTTGTGAAATTGCAGTAAAAATTTTAAGGCTTCATTTCTCCAAGGGTATCAAAGTTTTTAATACTAAATATTTACTGAAGTTTATTTATTGATCAGTTATTGTGTTGCAATAATAAAAATTATACTACCTTATACAGAGTGTCTAAAAATGTATTTTAAATAATTACAAGCTTTAAACGGCAATAACTTGTTTAATTTAAATGGAATACCCTGTATATTTTAGGAGAATCAGATGCACAATTTAATTGTCTATCAAATTGTATTACACTATTTTTACCTATCCCTTCAAGTTTTCGTAGAAAATGCATTTTCTTATAATTTAGACCTCATTCATCAATATACCCATGGAATATTGACATTTTATTATTGACACCCATGGAATATTGACATCATATATTGACATTCTAGTAACATTATCGTTTTGCTAAAAACAATAATGTTGTATGCAAAAAGAAAACTATTTAAATCTTTATAAAAGAGTATACCATTAATTAAACCAAACCAAACCATTATTTCCGCCAATATACTAATTAATTGCATACTTAATTGTATTCGTTAATAAATTATTCTAAATAAATGTGGATTTGAGTCAGAAATCAATATAATAATAAGTTATCAAAATTAAAGTCTCTATTGTTATATATAAGCATTTATTAAAAAATAAAATATCATTTTTAAGGTGTTACTTTTTATCACACTGTCTAATACGCATACAAAATTCAGTTTTTTTAGTATTTGGAACAATTATTATTAATCAATGCAGTCAGTTAATGTAGTTTGAATACTGGAATCATATTAATTGGTCCTCTTTAACAAACATTTAAACAGTTTTTTTTTTATTTTTTAATGAAATAAACGAATTATATCTACAATATTAGTATCTGTACTCTTTAAAAATTTGGTACATCTCTAAAAATAATCTAAAATGTCAATATTCCATGGGTATATTGATAAATAAATTCTAAATTACAAGAAAATGCATTTTCTACGGAAACTTAAAAAGATAGGTAAAAAATAGTATAATATAATTTGATAGACAATTAAATTGTGCATCTGATTCTCGTAAAATATACAGGGTGTTCCATTTAAATTAAACAAGTTATTGCCGTTTGAAGCTAATAATTATTTAAAATAAATTTTTAGACACTCTGTATAAGGTAGTATTATTTTTATTATTGCCCACACACAATAACTGATCAATAAATAAACTTCAGTAAATATTTAGTATTAAAAACTTTGGTATCCTTGGAGAAATGAAGCCTTAAAATTTTTACTGCAATTTCACAAAATTGAAAATATTTCAAAAACGGTAAGGTTTAAGTATAATAAACCTTAATCAAATTTACCTTTATTTTAATCGTAGAAACTAAAAATGCAATAATATACAGGGTGTTCCTTTTAAAAAAATACAACTTTGATATTGTTTACTTATTTGGGACACTCTGTATCTTGTAAAATTATTTTTAAATTGTACCTCTAATAGTCCTTCATCGAACCCAAGACTTACAATTTGTAAAAATCTCATCGTTTAGCGACAATACTCCGTGTCGTATGTGGTGAACAACCCTGTATAAACAGTTTTATATAAGGGACATAAAGGGCCATTACTACTGCTTTCCCATTCAAAATATTCTAATAAGGTTGCGATGAGTTTTTTACAACGGCTATTAAGCTATCTTGTATACTTCGCACTAAAAGAGGTTCTAAAAAGAACAATGTTTGACTGCAAGGTCTGCTAGTAAAAAAAATTAAGCTTATATCACAACACAATTCATTTAAACCAATAACTCGTAATTCAAAACTAAAGTGTCAAAACGAATGACAGTGTCAGGAAATAAATAAATAAATGTGGCAACTTGACATTTTTTTACAGCGAAGCTACCACCTGAATCCCCAGCGGAAAATTTAAATTCCAGTTAGTCAGCCCGGCACCGAATATGTTCATTGTTGGCAACAATGAATTTAAAAATCGCGCCCTCGATTACGTAACTAAAAGTTTAATTGCTATCGCTTATACCTGTAGTTATACAGGGTGTCCCAGCAATAAGTGCAAGTATTTTACGGGGTGGTAGATCTCGATAAAAGAAACATATTTTCTCTTTATCGTTTTTCGAATAAGTCCAAAATAACGGAGTTATTCCACTTTGAAAATTTCCAAAAAAATGTTTTTTGCTAAAATTTTGAGAACCACTAGATCTTTTCTGGATTTTCTTTCTTGTAAATTTAATCTAATATCTAAATGTTGCCATATTATCTAGAAATTATGTTTTTTATCTAAAAACTAAAAAAATTTCAAAAAAATTTTTCAAAAAATTTCGAATTTTAAAAAAAAAATTCGCGAAAAAAACCTCATAGGCGTGTTTCTGGGGTTGAACTATACTACCAATTAAAATACTTGCACTTATTTCTGGGACACCCTGTATAGTTCAGTCATTGGGGATTTTTGCTTGGAAAAAAGTCCGGAAGTTTTGCAACTTTGCAGGTTTATAGGTTTTGGGGTCCCTAACTAAAATCCATAAAATGTACATTTCCAGACTTGCCGCCGGCGCCGCCATCTTACGAAGATGGCGCCCAAAATCGGTATTTTGTGAATATCTCGAAAACTATGCGTTTTTCGCGAAAATTTGAGGAGAGCAAAATTAAAGGGAATAAAATTTCCTATAAAAAAGGGTTTGTGAAAATTTTCGCTAAAGTCAACCGTTTAGGCAAAAAATTCCTGGAAATTTTACAATTTTGCGTAAAATATGATATATTATGTATAAATCAAATGTAAATTTGGGTTCACTAAAACTAGTTTTAGTTTAGTTTCTTCAATTTAGTCATAAAACAGTGGCCTATCATTAATTCGCTCATTAATTTATGAATAATTAATTTTAATTATTGAAAATGTGTACTTGTTTCCACCCAAGAGGTAAAGTATATGGCGCGTTTATTTTAACGTGGTCTCCCCGGAGGCCTACTCCACTAGATAGGATAGAATTGATGTCAAAGTCGATCGTGTTTGCTGTGCTGGGCTCATCAGGGTGGTCTCTCAATACGTCCTCTCATACGGTCTCTCAATACTATTCTCATCAATTCGTTCATCTTCAGCTGCCAGAGAGATATTTACAGGCAAGTCCAACTCCTCTTCATCGGATTCGTCGAGTGACACTTCAGTGACGGTGTCACAGGATTTCCCATTGCAGTATGCACAAATTATTGAACATTTTAATCCTGCTTTTCTGCATCCGCAGGCTTTACCATAGTTGTTGGTTTTGCATTTACAGGATAAAAATGCCAATAGGGATTTTGGAGCTGGATCTCTCAACGTTGTGATTGGAGTAATGCCTGTTTTTGTTTTCTTCCAACCCCATTCTTCGGCATCTTTGATACGACCAGACCAATGCTGAACCTGGTGGTAAGTTCGCAATGAATGCTGTCCAGCACGACAATTAATTATTTATAAATTAATATGAGCGAATTAATGATACGCCACTGTTTTATGACAATATTGAAGAAACTAAACTAAAACTAGTTTTAGTGAACCCTAATCGCCCATTTGATTTCGGAAAATCGACTATACATAATATATCATATTTTACGCAAAATTGTAAAATTTCCATGGATTTTTTGCCTAAACGGTTGACTTTAGCGAAAATTTTCATAAAACCTATTTTATATAAAATTTTATTCTCTTTAATTTTGCTCTCCTCAAATTTTCCCGAAAAACGCATAGTTTTCGAGATATTCACAAAATACCGATTTTGGGCGCCATTTTGGCAAGATGGCGGTGCCGGCGGCAAGTCTGCAGATGTGCATTTTATGGATTTTAGTTAGGGACTCCAAAACCTATAAACCTGCAAAGTTTCAAAACTTCCGGACTTTTTTCCAAGCAGGCTCCTTTTTTGATCCCCAATGACTGAGAACTATTATATCATTATTTGTTTTAAGAAATGTGACTCCAGAAGAACTGAATATTACAAGAAAAGTATTGGTTGGGTTCGTCTCTCTGGAACTGTTTCCAACAGATGTCCCAGAATATAACTTGACAGAGGTGGACTTGGTTTATGAAATACTGCAACGAAACGGCTATCCTGAATATCGTCGAATATTAAAGGAGATAACGCAAACCTGCGACAGCATGCTTGTAAGGTAAGTCTTGATGTTTTCTTTGTAGGGTAAATATAGCCCTCAGATAATCCATAGAATCAACCATCAAATAAGTAATCAACGCTTTATTATATTTAGTATTTAGCGAGACTGGCATTGGTCTTGCGCTTTTGGTCTTAGATATTTCTCTTGGTCAATTATTATCAAAACCGAAATGCAAATAAAACTTTTACACCCTGTATCTCCGAAACAAAGTATTTTAGAACATAAGTTTATACGCACTTTTTTATTGTTTTTATCTGCAGAATAGAATGTCGAAGTTCCTAGATTTAAATTCGGACCACCCTGTATATTGAAAAATAAAAATTTTTATCGGAAAAATGTTGTTTCTTTCTTTAAAAAGAGTGCATTAAATTACTCACAATATTACTTATTTAAAAATTTTCTATGTAGAAAGTGGGTTTAGTAAAAGTCCATTAAAAAGTGCAAGACTTTCAAGAGTTCAGACCAAGACCAAGGGAGTCTTGCTGTTGGTCTTGAATTTCCCTACAACTATTTATATTTTATTGAAGATGTACTTGGAATCGCAAGACAGTGAATTGTAATGCCATTTTTGAAGAAAAGTATATTGGGTATGGTCGTTGTTGCAGTTTTAACTACGTTGGGGAGTCTCTTAATAAAACTCCAATACGTACTGAATCCTATGGCATTTTTACCGGACTGAAAGTCTGGATAAAACCACACTATAACATCAGAGAATATTCTGGAGTTTTGGTAATCTAGGTTAAAAAAACATACTGTTTGAGTAATTGTAATTGCTACTGTTTCAGGTCCAAATAGACGACTCTCGGGATCTTTCCTACAAAGTCGAAAACAGAAAGTTTCTATCTTTAGGGACGGTGAATTATATCCACGTGCAAGCTTCCAAAAAACTAACAAGTCCAGATGTGAAACGTCTGTCTAACAAACAGAGAAACTGCGTATATGGTGATGAAAGGAAACTAAAGTATTTCAAGATATATACAAACGCGAAATGCGCTGTATCGTGCAAAGCTGAATTTTTCTATAAGTTATGCCAGTGTGTTCCACATTATTACGGTTTTGTTAATGGTAATAGAGCCTCAAACTTATTTAAAGCCTTGCCTACACATAAAGTTTTACCTTTATTACATTATACGTTTTGACTGAACAGATCAGCTAAAAAATAAAACTTTATGTTATGTTTGTTCCAGATATGTTTTTAAAATATACTTTTTTCCATAGCAACTGTTGAAATGATCTTATATCTATCAAAAATAGTAGATAAAATAGTACTTTAACAGCAAGGGTAGATATAATGATACTCTAACAGCGAGGATAGGATAAAAACTTTATTTCTTCTCGCACGTTTTTTAATTGCTTCCATTTTTGAAAATGTTTGTATTCCTTTTCATAAGTTATTCGGGATTTAAATGGAAGTAGTTTGGATATGGCGTTTGTCGCCTCAGCCTGAATATCTGTTGGTAATTTACTTATTTTGTTTTGAGCCATTTCTGACTCCAATTCAATCAGCAATCGACACGAAAGAGAATTAAAAATATTGACTCAAAACTGACAACTAAAGAGACAGCTTTATTTATGTGTCAAATTACATATAAACCAACGCCAATCCAGCACAATATTTTTTCTACTCGTAATAAATTCCTTGAAATAATAATTTCTGAATATTTTTTAAAACGTAACTCGCTATGGAAAAAAATATTGTTTTATACACGACGATAAAGTTGCATTATCGTTTCCCGAAATTAATTCACCTCGCGATTTCATCGCTCGTGAATTAATCTTTTCGGTCGACGATATAATACCATTTTATCGTCTTCAATAAAAAATAACTATTTTTGTTTCTCAGATAAGCCAATGTGTGGATTAAATAAACTGCCGTGTATCGAGAGCAACACAGAGATGGAGTGCTAAAACTTTTGCTTCACTACCAATCTTTGGTAGATAATAGGATATCGAATTCAGATGGTAAAACTTATATAAACGTATGTCCTAATTTTTTTTCGGTGGTTGCTTCTTAAGTGCAAAAAATCAGTGCTAGAGATTTTTGAGAACATATTTTGATCAAAAAAATTTTAAAGCCTCTTTCAATTTAAAGCGGCAAACCATTAAGCATACTCAGTTTCATACAAAGAAGTATGCCCCATTCTGCTTAAAGTCACCATAGACGCACAGCTTTTTGCACAGGCAAACCTGTGTGTGTGTATGTGTGTGCGGTAGGCATTAGCAGCCCCGGATCTACAATTTTTTGAACCGGGGCAAAAATTGATAGAAGCGCCCCTCTCTCCAGCGTTTGCAATAAATTAATTTAAAAAACTTACAAATATCTAGATATAGGTAGGCATTTTTCGTAAACGGGACAGAATGAGCCCTTAAGCTTCATTCAGAACCTCCGAATTAGTGATCATTTTCAATTAGTAGAAAAAGTAAACAAACTTTTGACTTTTCCACTAACTATATTTCAAATTTTGCGGGAAATGTCATTTTAGCCATTGATTAACATTCGTCAAGAAAAATGGTGGTTAGAAATCAAAAGTTTATTGTTTTATAAGCTAAATATTTGGCTTTCTTTATGGATACAACTGACTACCGCAAGCTGTTGCTAGGATATTCTATAGTCTATCCAACGAGAAGATCCTTGACAGTGATAGACGTGTCTGTCATTTTAATTTCAAAATAGTTTATTTTATTTTACAAAGAAATAAGTTGGTACAACTGGAACGCATAGCAGGAAATTAATATATGTATTTAAAATTTGACTGACAAGTAACTTCAAAATATTGTGAAAAAAACTGTATAAAACTGAAAAAATGTAATCGAGTTATTTTATTTACTAAAAACCGGTATGTGTTAATACAGAACAAACAAAAACAAGACACCACATACCAAAAAATATAAAAAAGAACTATTTCTTACTTTCCAGCTTTATGAAACTTCCCGCATTTATGATTATATTTATCAATATAACTTATGTACAAATACAAATTTGTAATATTCCGCAGGAATAAATAAAACAGCATAAATAAAACAAACTATTTTATTAATAATAACACTTACCAAATTTTATACCTCACAGGTTGATTAATTAACTTTAATCTGAATTTTTTTAAACCAGTACCTTTTGACATTTTACTTTTATTGACCTTTATTTTTCTGCAGTACTAAAATCCATTATTTATCTATCGTGTGATGTCGATATTTTATAGCTGCTCCAGTTTTTAGTATGTATTTTTAGTTTATGTGTTTTAGTATGAGTATGGTCCTTCTACCATATTCGAGATGCACTTATCTACGACGAGATGGTATACGAACTTTATTGATAGTAACTTTATTGGTGTATCTGTATAAGACTTTCTGCCTGGGCAGCGAGTATTAACCATAAACTGTGCTCTGGGTTCTAAAGTTAATTTTCACTCGATTTTTCCTCCACATGACTTCAAAAGACACAAAACACACGTAGTAACACGAATTAAAATGCATCATCTTTCAAAACGCAGGGTATTTGACAAAAGTTGTCACAACATTATAACCTATAATTTGGCAAGACTTTGACAAACGTCAAAAATCTAAAGGCGAGTTCATACGCATCGGCGTCCGTTTGTGGTTCATCGTTCCGTCAAACCAATAAAATTGAAATACGATCTGTCATTTTTGAAATAAACCAATAAAACTGGTTAAAAACAACAAGTGACGACGCATGACGAATTTATTTTTAAACCCATCCATCGTTAACTTAAAAATTATTAGAAACTTTTTTTAGTAAAATAAATAGATTGGTATAGGACGTCATCTGCTTTTCTTCTGTCATCGTCTGTCGAAATCTTACCGGAGAAAAAAAACAGAGTTATATTAATTTTAATTGTTTTTTAAACATTGTGAATGATCGTAAACTAAAAAGTGTAATAATTGAAACCGCTAATTTAATCCACTAATTGCGAGGTTCTGAATGAAACTTTAGAATGTGTTCAAAAACTAACTGGGCGTTTTAAAATAAAATGAATACTTGATAGAAGAACGTAAGGTGCATCCTAGGCGTTTTGTGGAGCAATTTTTTTGATTTTCAACCATATTATATAATGATTTTGGCGCCCCCTGACACTGGTGCCTGGGGCAGGTGCCCCGGTTTGCCCCCCCTTAGATCCGGGGCTGGGCATTAGAACAGGTTAAATTTTACAAATTGGCCTACACAGTCAGTCTATGCTAAAGAACTGAGCGTCTGTGGGAGCTCTTACAGAAATATAACATATTTTAAGACAATTAAATTATTAATTATTTAATTTTAATAACTTAGTGTAATAACTATTATGTATAGTTAGTTCATATCAAATAAACTTTTAGTCACGTGATTAAGCTTGACCGGCACAGCGTTGCCCGCTTTACATATTTTCTTTTAATCAAAATATTTTAGGAAACAAAAATAAACTAATTATAAATATATAAACAGATATCATTTACATCAACAAAACTCACCTCCTTAACAGCACTTAAAGGCCATAAAGGACCGTTATTACCGCTTTCCCGTTCAAAATATTCTAATAAAGCTGCAATGAGTTTTTTTACGGCCATTAAGCTATCTTCTACACTTCGCACTAAAAGAGGTTCTAAAAAGAACAATGTTCGACTGCAAGGTCTGCTAATAAACATTTTTATAAGCTTAAAGTATCACAACACAATTGATTTAAAACAAAAACTCGTATTACAAAACTAATAAGTGTCAAAACGAATGACAATGTCAGGAAATAAACAAATGAATGTGCCAACTTGACATTCTTTACAGCAGAGCTACCACCTGAATCCCCAGCGGAAAATTTAATAATAGTCAGCCCTTTGCCGAATTTGTCCGTGAATTTAAAAATTGCGTTCTCGATTACGTAACTAAAACTTTAATTGGTATCGAATATATGTTTGTTTGTTTAACAATTTTTTGAATAAGAACCAAACCAGATACAACCAAAATGTATAAACAATAAACCGTCACAACATCGCACATTCATCTTTGACAAATATTTATTAAAATTATTATTTTAGTATCAGAAAAAGCATGCGATTGTCCTGCCCAATGCGAGTTTGATAAATTTAGGGTATCGGTTACCTCCACAAAATTAGTACCAGGTAAAATAATGTAAGTTTTAGTATAGGTAACTATGATGATATTTACTTATTTTTGAATCTTCTATTTTTTTTGTTTACAGCGATGGTTTAAATGGTAGTAAAGATGTGCTACATATCAATGTATTTTTCTCGAAACATCAACAGATATGGACTACTAACGTAATAACTACCAGTATATATTTGTGGTGTAAGTTAGAGATTTCCTCAGATGTAAATTTCCACAAAAAAAACATATCTAAAACTGTCAGTCATGACTTTTGTAAACATGACTTTTAAATATTTTTTGATAAACTGATAAAGAATAATTTTAGCATCATTTGGAGGGATCTACAGCTTCTTCTTAGGCTGTAGCATCATCAGTATTTTGGAGATTTTCTACTATATTGGAAAGGTGTATGTTTATCGTGAAAAACAAGTAAATATAGTAAAACCAAACATTATTGAAAAAGATGCGCTTAATTTCGAAGACACAAAAATAGAGCGCTTATATCCTAGTATTCAGTATGTTAACTAATGCAATAAAAACATATTAATAGAATGAATAAGTTGTATTTTGAGTGTTTTTTTTAACAATGAAAAATACTTAATTTAAATCATTGTAACTAATTATAAAATAAAACTGTCCACAATATAATTTTTTTTTGCTTTTTAAATTTTATCCTTAAAGACAATTCTTTGATCGATTTTAATCAAGATTCATTAATCAAAGACTGATTTTTATTAATCTATTTAATTCTAGTCTCTAGTTACACCACTGTTTATTTTTTAAACTTTTAATATTTTACGTTTTTTTAATTAACTTAAATTTAATTGTGCAGGTTCTGGTTGCCTGATCTTTTTTTTATTTTTATTTTTTTAATAAAATAAAGGGTATTTATTTTATTATCTTGACAACTAATCGAAATTTTTAAATAAAATTAATATTAATTCTCACAGCAATATACTGTTTTTTTTTTTATTTAAATACATGTTCGCATGTGATTTAAATCACGAAATATATATGTTTGTAGAAACGCATGACGAACCAAACATTTGTTACTAATTCAGTCTGCATTAAGAGTTCAAAAGGTCACAAAAGGGTCCGACAATGTCAAAAGTTCTTAAAAACATTAAAGACCTTTTTAAAAACACTAGCATTGAGGGTCTTAAATTCTGCATCTTTTCTAAAAATCTGTATGAACGGTAAGTAGATATTTCAAAAATGTATAAATGTAAACTTTAGTACGGTATGATCGAAAAAAAAACGACGTGAAAGACGGCTGAGGAATGACAGTCGATGATAGTTTTGGCGAGGTTAACCTCTAGGTAATTTACTAAAATCGACATAAAAATTGTCAAAAATTAACAACGCTTAGAAAAAGATTAGAAAAGGAGAGAACGTTTCGTGACACACAAATTTATTTAAAAAAATATATTTTTTTCGTGGATTTTAAACTAGGTAGGTATACTATTTAAAAATAATTTTTAATCAGTACAAACAGCACCATTAAAAATTAAAGGAGAGTTCGGGCCAAGAAAATGACGTTTAGGGCTTGACCTGGCCAAACTTATTATAGATTGTCATTTTCCAGCCGTCTTTGACGGCGTTTTTTTTTCGATCGCATCGACAAATAAATCAGAATTTAAAAAAAATAAACTTGATTTTTGACAAAATTTGTAGTGAGTAAAAAAGAAAGATATAATTATAATAACTTATTTTGACAGACCTTTAACATATCTTCCTTAACAAGAAACTAAATCTCAAAAATAATATTATTGTTTTAGACTTTTTTGGACTTTGGTGGTTATATGCACTCTAGCGTGCTCTGGATATGTGACGGCTTTATTCTGGAACAGATACGTCAGTAATCCAAAACGAATAACTTTAAAAACTGGTTTTGCTTCGCCACTTACTGTCCCATTTCCTGGCGTGACCATATGTAACTTCAACGTGGCTCTTGTCAGCAAAATTAACAACTTTCTGAATAAACTGTATAAAATTTTGAATATTGTTTACAATATATACAACGCCGATGCCTATTAAATAAGTTCAAGTGTTTTAATAGGTGGTAAGACCTGGAGAAAAAAACATATTTTTTGAGTTATTTAACTGTGAAAATAAAAAAATAAAACTGCCTATACAGGGTGTCCCAGAAATAAGTACAGATAGGGGTGGTAGATCTCGATAAAAGAAATATATTTTCTCTTTACCGTATTTCAAATAAGGCCAAAATAACCGAGTTATTTTTCTTTGAATTAATAAATATTTCCAAAAAAAAATGAGGACCACTAGATCCCCTTTCCTGAGGTTTCTTTTTTATAAATTTAATCTCTACTACCTATGTTGCCATATTATCAAGAAATAATTTTTTCAACTCAAAACATTTTCCAAAAAAAAATCCAAATTTTTTTCAAAATATTCCAAATTTTCAAAATTTCAGATAAAAAACCGAGATTTGATATGTTAGTACATGACATAAATTAGGATTGATTGACGCTCTCAATTCTTTTCGGTCACTTCCTGTTTCACCGGAAATGACTACAACTTTTGAATTATAAATGGCACCCTCGACATTTTTTTACTTTATTCGATAGAAAATTACACTCTGAATAGAATGACATATCATATGTCAACTTTTGACAATTTTGCTTAAAAAATCATACGGTACTACCAATTAAAATGCTTACACTTATTTAGGGAATGCGCTGTATAATTTTCTAAATAAAGACTATTTTTTAGAGATGGCACACCCGAAGAACTAAACATAGTTAATGAGACTTTATCAAAATGGGTTGCTGTTGAAGTTATAACTCAAACTACGTCTCAGATCAACAGTACTAATCTTGAATTAATTCAAAATATTCTCGATAAGAATGATTATAATGAAATGAGAAGTATACTGAGACAGGTTACACAAACATGCGACGAACTATTAATAAAGTAAATTTACAATATCCACTCAGGAAACATTTTTCCCTTTATCCTAAATTAAACATTAATTTTTGACAAACTTTTATATTAAGAGATATAGTTGAAAAATAACAAGGAGTAGGTCCAGCAGAAATTATTATAGATTATCAATTCATAGGCTATTATAATAATTGACATAATATATATATATATAAAAACAGCCTATAGTATAGACAGCCTATATAACATTTTAATGAACAGTGCTTTCCATAAAATCAATAAAATGAAAAATATACGAAATAATATACATGTACTGATTTCTTTCGAAAATCGACAACTATGAAACTATGATCCCTTCCCCGACACAAACGGTACTGTCGTTACTTCTTGTGAGACAGGAAATTGTAGAGAGAAACAAGCCCTATAACATAGGGTACAACATTTTAATGAACAGTGCTTTCCATAAAATCAATAAAATAAAAAATATACGAAATAATATACATGTACAGATTTTCGAAAATCGACATCTATGAAACTATGATCCCTTCCCCGACACAAACGGTACATTGTGAGACAGGAAATTGTAGAGAGAAACAAGCCCTATAACATAGGATACAACATTTTAATGAACAGTGCTTTCCATAAAATGAATAAAATAAAAAATATACGAAATAATATACATGTACTGATTTCTTTCGAAAATCGACAACTATGAAACTATGATCCCTTCCCCGACACAAACGGTATATTGTGAGACAGAAAATTGTAGAGAGAAACAAGCCCTATAACATAGGATACAATATTTTAATGAACAGTGCTTTCCATAAAATGAATAAAATGACTGAAATATACTGAATTCTTATTATTAGTCTTATTTTAGATGTTCCTGGAACAAGAAACCTATAAAATGTAACAAAATATTTGAAGAAATTTATATAGGGTCAGGTCGATGCTGCAGCTTCAACTATGTCCCAGAAACATCCAATAGGAAACCAGTTCACACTAGCAAAATCGGATTATTTACTGGTTTAAAAGTGTGGATAAAACCAGAGTATAACACAAGAGATTTTGCAGGAGTTGGGGTTAGTTATCACCATTCAAAAATCAAAAAATATATATAGTCTTAGATTAAATATAGAAAAGATACAGCCATACCTAGTTACAAACGTCAGCAATATATTCACAAGAAATAAATTGTTTGTTTATAAATACTACACTACTCTGTTGGTCATACAACTGCCACAGTCTGTTCATCACCAGCCTGCCTACTTAAAACGATCATTTGTATGGAAATCTACCTACCTAATACTTTTACTTATCAAGTACCAGGTCAGGATATGAGCTTTATTTAAAAAACTGTCTAGACTGATGGTCTGACTGCCGTATACAAGCACGAGAATTGACGCAGTGTGACACGCAGATACTGTAAATCAAGCAAAGTGGTCAGCTAGTACTGAATAAGCTGTGGCGCCTGCTGCCTGGTGTGAAGCTGGATTTATTACATGGACAAAACTTCCTATTGTGCTGGATCATTTAGAACGTTTAATCTAAGGAGGAAGCTATACAGGGTGGCGCACCTCATTCGCCTCGGTTGATTATCCGAAAACGGAAAGATGTAGAAACAAAAATTTTATGGGTATATGTGGGAAGGCAATGTACATAATTTGAAATTATTTTGAAATGTACAGAGTGTCTCGGAACTAAAGATCCATATCAAAGTTATATTTTTTCTTATGGAACACTCACCGGTATTTTATTTTATTTTTGGATTCCTGGACATAAAATAAGGTATTGAGTATAAGCGTTTAATATGTTTAAAAGCTTTGGTTTTTGAGATATTTAAATATGCAAGCTATAATAGAAAAGTTTTGTCAACGCCTTGTACATTAATTTTCATAATTATTAATTTTTGTGCTGACTTTCAAGCCAGAGAAATAAACTTTACTAAAAAATTTGATTGCTTCCTTAAATGTATACAGGGGGTTTAAAAATTGCTGGTCTATTTTAAATATTTATTTTACACAAAAACTTCGTTATTTCAAATACAACACTATATTTTTTTTTTAAATAGGCCGAAGCAGATTTAAATGCTCTTTCAAACTATATTAGGGTATCCTATACCTATCTGGCTCAGATTTTGAATAAAAAGCGATTTTTCAATAAAACTGTAATCAAGACGGCTGGTGTCGCCATGGAAATTTTCTAGTGACACTTAGTAGCTATTTTCAAAATCGACATTAGTTTATGGACTTTATTTAAATTTATAACAGGTTATTTTTATTTAATTTACTTACAATAAGGTTAATATGTAAGTATTTATTATTTTATCAAGAAAAATGAACCAATATCTGCTGGTGGAAGGAAGTAAAGTTTATTTCTCTGGCTTCAAAGTCAACACAAGAATTAACCCTGAAAAGTAATGTACAGAGTGTTGACAAACTTTTTTGTTATAGCATGAAAATTTAAATATCTTTAAATATCTCAAAACCCAAAGCAATTAAACATATTAAACCCTTATAATAAATGCCTTATTTTATGCCCAAGAATCCAAAAATGAAATAAAATACCAAGTTTGTGTGTTTAATAAGAAAAAATATAACTTTGGTATGGATCTTAGTTCTGACACACCCTGTACATTTCAAAATTTCTACATATACCCATAAAAAATTTTGTTTCTCCATCTTTCCGTTTCCATATATTCAACCGAGGCGAATGAGGTGCGCCACCCTGTATATGTCTTTAAATTCAAATTTTAGGTGATTTTCCATGATCCAAAGGATTTTCCTTACAAAACTGAAGCGAGAAAAACATTATCCCTAGGAACCCTAAATTATGTTCACGTAGAAGCTTCTAGAAAAGGGTGCAGTTCAACAGTAAAGAGTTTACCTATATCTCAACGCCAGTGTATCTATGAAGACGAGAAAAAGATAGATTTCTTTCGAAAATACTCTATAACGAACTGCTTCATTGCATGCAAAGCTGAAGTATTTTTCAAGGAGTGCCACTGTATCCCTCATTTCTTTGGATTTGGTCATGGTAACAATAATTTAAAACGAAATAAATTATTAGGTAATAAAATGTACTATCACTATCTATTCTTTTCTTTATAGATAAGCCAGTTTGCACTGTTGAAAAACTATCTTGTATCGAAGAGAATAACAATGGTAAATTCAGACTAGATCCAGTATTCCAAAAAAGCTTTTAAATCAGGTTTATGGTTTGAGGCTTTTATTCCAAATTTTTTATAAAATATAAGAGTAATACCAAACCAAACATATCTTCCAACCCCATCCATTTTTTACATAAAATGCTAGATGTTTGTTTAGCTCATTAAATTTGCCAATAATTCCATAATATTATATTCTATACTGAGTGGTTTCTGAAATACATATTACTATATCTACAAAAATATTTTTAAAATGCACTCATCATATTAAGATTGAAGTCAAATTTCAAATAGGAAACCTGATATAGAGCTTTTTTGGGGGGCAACATTGCATCACACCCTGTATAAATAAACTTTTAGTACTCAAACATAATTGTGATTGCCCTGCCGAATGTGAATTTGATGTTTACAAAGTTGTTGCTTCTTCTACTAAAATTTTACCTACTAATAATACAATGTGAGTACCGACTATACTTTCTGTCTGCTATATCACATCCATTTACTGTTTTTATTTTTGTTGCAGAGAAAATATGGGTGATTTAGTATTCATCAATATTTTTTTCAACATACATCACCGTATATGGATGACTGATACAATTAATACAAGTATTTATTTGTGGTGTAAGTTCTAAACCATCTGATAAATTGTAAACTTCGAAAATTTTAAACTTTTAAATTTTGTAGCTTCTTTTGGAGGTATCTACAGCTTATTCTTAGGCTGTAGCTTCATAAGTATTATTGAAGTGTTTTACTACATGGTTGGTAAATCAATCGATCTTAATATGATGACTGACCAACAAAAAAAGCTAATGCCTACAAGAAACAAAATACAAATCCAAACCTTCAAGATTGAGAAACAACCGTCTAAATATCCTGATATTCCATTTACTAACTAACTTCTTAAAAGTACACTTCCTTACACAAATATATACACTGAATCATAAACTGTCTTAAATATATTTAAAAACTGCATCTTTTTTGTTTGCTATAACTTGTAACTCCATTTTGACTGGGCACTGTAACCAAAAGCTTAAGAATTCTTCAGTATATCCAATTAAAAAGTACATTTTTCTTGGAAGTACAGAGCCATTAACTAAACCGGCTATCCTAATAATATTGTGCTGCCTTTTAATTATAACTTCACTGGCAAATAAGGCATGCCATGTCCCCGTTATAAACATTCTTATAAACTGATCTTCCACGGCTGTCTCCGAAGGCCTGTGGCCATCCAGAACGTTTGCTAGAGAAAGTAGAAAAATGAGAATCACTATTTAGCAACTAATATTAATAAATTTACCTGTATTCCATGAATTCCATGCCTTTCTATGAGCTATTTGATGTGGAGGATTAGCCATTTCGTATGTTAAAGGAAAAGTTTTTTTGGAAGTTATCTTGTAACGTCCAGCTTGAACTTTATTACATACCGAAGTTGTATGAAGTTGCCTTGCTAAAGAAAGTTCTAACTTCAAGCTGTTATGAATCTGAAAAATTAAGAAAATATTGATTTTCGATTCTAAAAGTAGGCAAGTATAATATTACAGTTTTTCCCAAACATATATTCATTTTATATAAAATAAATTAAAAATCAAATTTCCACAAAACCATAACAAGAAACAGGACTAAAATTTGTGGTTATGAGAAATATTTCTTCTTGACATTTATAAAGTTTTCAGTAATCATATATAATAAATTGAAAATCTTTTCCTACATTTGCTACCATAGATAATAGATCTAAAAATAATGATAACCATAGAGAAATATAAAATAATATGATAACCTAAAAACTGACAGTTGACAGTGAGGATTTCTTCAATAATATAAATATTTAATTTAATAACTTTAATAAAGTAATAATAAAATCATGAATTTATCTCAATATTCGACAGAAAGAACATCAGGAGATGGAATGGAAAATAATGTTCGAACTAATTCAGATATTAAGTTAAGTAGTACGTTACTAACTAAACCATCTAGCAGCATTTTAAAGTCTATGAAACCAGTTGAACCCGCATCAAAAATCTTTAATTTAGTACCGAAATACGTGCCTCAAGATAAGAAAGTTTCCAACATTATATTGTATAAGCCCAAGGAACCTAAATTTATTCCATACGAGCCCTACAAAGCAGCTGTTATACCTATTATACCCACCAAGTTTAAAAAACCTACACAAATGGTTTATAAAGAAAAACGTTCAAAGAATAATATTGAAATTCACGAGCTAGTGAATCAAATGACTGATATGAGAACTAAGGAAATGAATAAGCTTGGTGCAGCTTTACCAGAAAGTGCAGTCATTCCTCTTCAGCAATGGGAGAAGGAAAAAGAAGCTTTTGACACTGATATTAAAAATTTGAAAGAGACTAAAGCTCATCTAGAGAACCAGCTGAAATTTCAGGCTCAAGTAAACAGTGAGTTGAAAACATTACTTGTTGCTGCCGTAGGTGAAGATTTAGAAACAAGAGTGCAACACTTAACTGAGGATAAGTTATCTCTAGCCCGAGCACTATTAAATTCTGCAAATCATCTGACTTCACATCAAGAACAAACAGAATGGTTAAGTGGACAGTGTGAAGTATGGAGAAGTAAATTTTTAGCATCAAGGTGATTTAGAACATAAAATATATGTATACTTCTTTGAGAACCCTTTTTTATTTTAGTTTAATGGTTGAAGAATTAGCTAGATGGAAATCGGCTTTAACAAAAAGGGTAAATGATCTTCAGGAAGTTACGAAAAAGATACTGAGTGAACATAATAAATTACAAAAGCAAATGTTGACTACTTATACCAATTTAAATAGTATTAGTGAGAAACAAACTGGAAAAGGTTTAAATATAAAAATCGGTGATATAATTGAACTAGGTGCTGTTAATCAGAACTTATCACGTCAAATTGCTGATTCATTACAAATAGAAATTCAGTCACTACCAGAAAAACCACCTGGTTTGAGCGTGACCGAGAAATTAGCTTTAAAAGTGCGTTCAAAATAATTAAACTATTTGCAGGTATTGTAAAAAATCATACATACTGTTGTAGGTTCTCAAGAATCCTGTGACATTGACATCGCAAGATGTTCTGTGTAATGCTCTAGTGGGTGCTGCTCATTCCTTAACAGGTGATCCAAGATTTGTTGAAAATCAGTTGCTTCATCCTTGTTGCTCCCATTGTAAAGGCGAAGTTCAGGATATTTGACAGTGGACAAAGATGTTTTGATAATTATTTTTATGTTTGTACATTTTAAGCTTTATTATTGAAATATATAGTCTATTTTTTTAATGTTATGTCTTATTTTTTTATTATTTTCATTACAAATTAGCATACTAATTTGTGAATAAGTACAGAAAACTCAATACTTTGAGAAATCCTCTAATCTGAATATTTGAAAATAACTTTTAGTTTAATAGTCTGAAACCCTTTTTATGAATTAAATGGTTTGTAACTTAACTATAATTAAATGATAATAGCTCAATAATAGTAATCAGTAATAGATAATAGTAATATTTACCCCTTTTTTTAAATAAATAGATTTAGAATAAATAACATTTTTTATGTCTGTAATATTTTTTAAAAACATGTCTATTTTCTTATTATTTTAATTATAAATAGATTGGGAATTAAAAAAAATATTTATATATATATGCCATATGCCTTTATAAATTAACATTAAATTATATGATTATAAAACATTATTCTATGGATATGAGCTTGGTTGATACGAGAAAAATCATTATAGTTGGCTTTGCTTTTCGCCATTTTCTCCCGAGTCACTTTTTTTCTTTTTGTTGTGACTACGCGTCGTCGTTTTTGTGATTTTTAATTTTTTTCACAACTTTTTCTTACTTTAGTGTTAACCAAAACTCGAGTATTATGTGTAGTTAAATATTTTAGTAAAATATTAACTTGTTGTAGTGTCTAGGTAGTTAATATCTGCAATTTATTGTGAAAAAACTAATATGTGCTGGTTGTAAGCTGAATAATTTGGTAAGTACTTATGTAATTCTATTTGCTTTGTGTATTTTTATAACTTATGTTTGAGAAAAACGCAATGAAACGTAGAAAATATGTGTAGAATGTATAGAAAAAGATAAAAGGTAGTGATTTATCAACAAATTCAAGCTTGGTCGGTCTAAAATCATAATAGTTGGCCAAGCCTTCGCCATTTTGTCATATGTCAGATTGTTTTTTCAGATCAGTAAAATCCTTCTAGTGTCTTGAAACTTTTTGCTTTATTTTCTCAGTTCCAATCTAATTTTAGTGTAACTGATAAAATGATTAGCGGTATAAACACCAATAATAGTGCGCGGTTAAATATTTTAGTGATTTTCAAACTTTTGTGGAGTTTCTTGTTGAAGGAGGGGTTAATAATTGGGTAAGTAAGTACCTGTTAACGCATTTTAATATTTTGTTAATAAGTTATATTTAAAAAAAAAACTGAATATGAAAGTAGAGAACAGTATACAATCGAATATTAGCTGGTTTTACAGCTTTAGATGACTTTTATAGGTGCGAGGTTGATATTAATACAACATTTACGTTACATAAAAAATTTATTTCATAAGAGCATTATCAAAAATTTGACGGAAAATAAAAATATATATATATATATATATATATTATAGGTATATTCTTAAATTTTCTTCCTCTATATTTATATTGACTAATATCTATTGCCTCTATACCTTATTCAGTGAGTCCACCACATATTGCAATAATTCCTATTAATCTTTATATACAGGGTGGTCAAAACTGTATTCGGGAAAATTCGCCAGCATATTCTGCAGATAAGAATAAGTATAAAAATTTGTAGATATAATAAATGTTTCTTAAAATGCTTTGTTTCGGAGTTTGGTTTGTAGTTGCTTGTAGTAGTTAAAAAAGGTCACACTGAACAAAGGTATAGAAGAAATTATTATTTTTATTACAAATATCAAAAAATTATATCACAAAAATACATCCACCATAATATACATGGATAGGTACAAAATAAGTATTATAAACAATCGAACATAAGTATTGCAATAATTCTATACAGAGTACTATATGGAAAGTTGATTTTTAGATACAATTTAAATACTTTATTGTTAATAACATATACATATTACGAATTGGTTAGTTGTTAAAATTAACATTAAATATAAAGCCTTGATACGTGCCCTCCGGTTTCTGTTTTAACATAAATATACTGTGTGACCAAATAAAATTCAAGTAAATTATGGCAATAACATTTGATAAATGTATTTAATTCAGAATAAGACAAAAATCTGAATATTAATTTTGTTAAACAACTATTTGGTATAAAATTTACAACGACTAGAAGAATAATTGTATTCTTCCATTAGAAGTTTTACACCTGGCATTTTTTTGTTAAATAATTTTGATGAAGTATATTTTGTACAAATTTATTTGACAATGTAAAAAATTGTATTTTCAAGTGGTCTGATAATAATCAGATTAGTGCAACAGTATAATAAAACACTATTTTTTGTAGCTATATTTTACATATTGTACTTGTCTAAAATAGATTGGACAAACATTTTTGATCAAACTATAATTTGTCATACCGTCGTATTTTGATCGAAAAAAAAACGGAATCATGTAGGCTTCGATATGGCGATCGATGACTTTCTCTGCATAATTTTTACTTATTCGCTTCATTTTCATATGCCATCTCTGACGCCAATTTTTTTTTCCTACAAAAACAATTATTTGACTAGAGTTTTACACAACTGGACATCGTTTAATATATATTATGCGTATAAAAACCAGGGTATACATATTTTATTTACATTTTGCGTCATTAATGTACTGTATGATAAAAAAAAATCGGTGTCACAGTGATCCTCGAAATGACGGTGTAGAAATAAATAAATGAATATTAAATTTTGAAAAATACGGTTTTAGGTCAAATTTTATTAATTAAGGCCAATTCAAAGGTTACTGTGACGCTGTTTTTTTTTGTAGTATGGTATATTTACTTATATGCATCCCTTTTATCTTTGACATAAGTATATTTTAGGCTCAACTTTCGTTTAGCTGAAATCTGTTATGAGTGATGTTGATTTCTATTTATGTAATGGTGCGTCCAGACCTGAGGGGTCGAGTGCGAGACGAGCGCGAGACATTCCAAATTTGCGGTGTTTTTCAAAGGGTGGAGGGGTCTCCTAAGAGCCTCGCGACCGTCTCGCGAGACAACCCACGGAGCCTCGTTGCTATCCGTTCCCTGTCGGTTTTTCAACGGCCGATCAAAGAAAGTTCACAGCCAAGTCTGGACGTGTTTTTGGCAGGCTCGCTCGACTGCGAGATATTAGCTCTGATATTATAGTGCATATTGAAATGGAGACTTTCAGGAAGATCAGCTGAAATTAATCGATTTATATAAAGAAAAACCAATATTATGGAATCCAAAAGGTCAAGGATATTAAAAAAAAAACGATGCGTGAGTAGATAATGTGAATAAAACTTGGGAAAAATGTAAAAAAATTATTTCTCTACTGGCAACATACAGGAAGGAGATTATTATAGGAAGTTTAATTATTATTGAATCTTGTTACCTAGTAAATTAAATATACAGGGTGAGCCAACGATAAAGTTCATTATTTTATTGGTTTTGAGAATTATTAAAAACTGTTTTAGAATTATTAAAAAAATAGAAAAACTGTGGAGGAGTTTAAGATACACATTTTAAAATTATTATAGAGTATACAGGGTGGTCAAAATAGTGTTACGGATATAACATGTTTTTTTTATTGTATGTATTGACATAGATTTGTTGATATAGTGTGTTTACTATTTTGATAAAATTATACTAAAAGATTAATATTATGAATTAAAAAAAAATTTGCGGGTATTACGGTACAAACTTAAGTATAAAAGAGATTGTAGTGGCAAAATATATACAGCTGCTTGTTCCAACTATGTCGTCGTGCGGTGGCTGGTCCTAGATGTCTCCAGCCCATATTATCACCCTCTTTGACCGGTCCACGCTGGCCAGGAAGTTGCCGTAGGGGTGCCAGGCTGTTGCCGTCACGGCAGATCTGAGGAACAGGTCAAAAGTAGACGATCTAAGTGTTAGGAATTACAGAAAAAACACATTTTTTGAACGGAAAACATAAGCAGCAAACAGTTTGTCCAACGAGTCAGGAAATATTTCCAAAAGTTACATCCAAACAATTACGGAAAAAAACAATTTACGTGTAATGCATTAAAATGACAGACACAAAACTACTGTTACTGTTATGTCTCCCCTCGTTGGACAAACAAACATCTGAATTATACAGGGTTTTGCAAAAATGGGTATTTTTTTTTCTTTTTAGTTACCGTGAAAATATCGTACAGGATGATGAAAAAAAATTCTGGTAAAGTTTGAGCTCTTAATATTAATGTTAATAGGTGTCTCATCCTGATTTTCTATTTCCCATTCAAATAACACGAAGAAACAATTTTTATTTGGAATTTTATTGCGTTCTAACAAATCAGCGTATCGTAAAAATCAATACCTATTCTTGTAGGAAATTAAATGTTCGTCAAAAAAGGTCTGATATGATATTTCATCTAATCGACTCGTTTGAAAGTTATTGAAGGTTAAAGTTCAACTTCAAGCAAATCGTATATGATGACTTCCACATTTTTTCTATATTTTATCACGAAATTGCAGACTTTGCAGACGATCAGGTCGTGATTGCGCAGGACTCATACGATCTAGAGTTCATGACTAAGAGGCTTTATCAAGAATATAACAAATGGGGACTTCAGGTTAGTCTAAAGAAGACCGAATACTTAGCTGTCAATTCCAACGCTTGTTTTGAAGTCTTCATTAATGATAACGTCCAGATTCAACAAGTAGACAAATTTAAATACCTGGGTGCTACTATCAACAACGGGGGTTTGGACAAAGTTGAAATACAAACCCGAATTCAGAAGAGCAAACAAGTTATTGGATGTCATAACAGCCTCTGGTGGGAGCGAAACTTGTCTGCAACAACTAAAAAGAGACTTGGAAGAACATTGGTGGAGTCAGTTCTTTGCTATGGTTCAGAGCTATGGACTCTGAGTGCAGACGCGAAGCGCAAAATCCAAGTTGTTGAAATGGACTACCTTAAAAGAAGTGCAGGTATATCTAGGATGGAAAAAAAGACAAACATCGAGGTCAGGCGTATCATGAATGCATCGGAGGAAACAGTACCAGATCGAATCGAAAAATCCAGCTTAAAATGGTTTGGACATGTTCTGCGTATACCGGAGAACAGGTGGCCAAAAAGAGTTTTTCAATGGGCTCCCCAGGGCAGAAGAAAGAGAGGTAGACCTAGAAGATCCTGGAACGGAACGGTTACGGAAGCAATGGAAGCTCGTAACCTAGAAGCTGATGACGCTCTAAATCGAGATGTGTGGCGTAGGGTAACGGGAAGGCAGCAATAGGCTGTAGTTGGAAATGAGTATTAAATACTTAAACCAAATCCCGTTTATATATATATTATCACGAAATAATGGCCCAGAACATAAAATATCCTATTTTTCGTAAAATACATCAAGAAGTATGTTCTTTGGTAAAACATTGACATTTTTTACGAAATACAAATAATTGTAAGAAAAATAGATTTTACTGTAATAAACGATATAGGCAATATAGCTTTTTAGATAATATTTTTTTTATTAACTAAATTTGCTACATCTTCAAAAACTTTCAAACGAGTCGATTAAATGAAAAATCATATTAGACCTTTTTTGAAGATCGTTCAATTTCCTACAAGAATATGTATTGATGTTTACCATACGCTGATTTGTTAGAAAGCAATAAAATAAAAAAAATCCCCATGTTAATAAACGAGAAATAGAAAATCATGGATGACACCTCTTAATATTAAGAGCCCAAACTTTCCCACATTTTTTTTCATTATCGTGAACGATATTTTCACGGTAACTAAAAAATGTTTTTTGCGCACCTGGAGAAACGCGTCTATCGCACGCGCGTTCTCTGTGAAAAGGGCCTAACGGAGTCTCGCGACCTCGCTCATAAACAGCGGGTTAAGGCCGATGCAAGCTGTAAATATGAATTGATTTACAAATTCATAAAAATATTGTCAAGTTGTTTAGGATATATGGCTATGTTTATATTTAAAAAATTAAACATATATTTTTCAGTTATTTTGAAAAACCAGGGCAATAATTCCAAAATATGACCTTGTCCCAACATATAGTTGTTAGGGCTATAGTACGAGCTACAATCCGTATTGTAGCACATTTTTAGACAACTTCTTTATTTTTAAGATTTTGATGGTCAAACATCAACAAAATATTCCTTATATTTGGACCAAATTTTCTCGAAAATAAAGACATAATTTAAAATTCCGTTACAATACGGAAATAGATTGAAGTTTTGTGGTTACAGTGATATATAATTTATATGGTTTTGTAACAAATTACTCGCTATTTTATGGCAAATGCTGAAGCTCTGCAAGCCTTAATCAAAGCACGTGTGTTTAGAATTTTGGCTGTGGTTTAACACAACAGGATCGGGCTAAGTCTTATGCAGATTTCTGAAATATAATATATATTTCCTTCGGCCAAACACCCGCTTTACCCGACGCCTGACAGCGACCCGAAAGTACAAACGTTATTACGTTTGTACTGTCTATTAACTCGATCACAAATTTTACCAGAAGTTTACCACTGTTATTAAAAGAAAAAAAATTGTGCACCTTAATGTTGTTACTATTTTCTACCACGGAAAAATTTTTAACACGAAAACAATTTTTCAAAATTCCGTCTATATTATTCTACACCGTATCAGAAGTTCAGTATTTAGGGTGATAATATTTGCCTAGGCCATTTCCTACACTCGGTAGTACCAGAACACAGGTACCAATATATACATTTCTGTGTTTGTCGGCGATATTTACGGCTATCAAAAGGAAGTAAAGAGCTTAGTTTCGCTCGGGCCGGTACTGCCGCGGCAGCGCCATCTCGTCCGGCGATCGCCAAAACATAAATCAGACGTTTACATACGGCGAGAATGAAGCGCTCGATGCCGATTGAATAAAACACTCTGTATAAGGAAGATGACAAGGATGGGTTGACGGTCAGATAAATCGCGGAGAGGACCCCGGGTCAGGGCCGTATTTTCCGGAAGGACTTTGTAACATTTTCCGTGAAAATGCATTAATGTTTTCAGTGGTGATAAGCAAATGCAAGAGCAAGATTCCTTTGGTTTTGGAGTTGGTTCTGATCCTGCAGTCCAATTCGTATTGGTCTTGGTCTAGTAGTGTCTAGCATAGTGCCTAGTTTTGTAGATTTTATAGGAGGAGGGAAAGTAATCACGACGATCTTATAGATCTATTGTGTCCCCCTTTTTTGGGTAATAACTCATCATACAATACCAGGGCTTTGATAAAATCCAATATCTGAGATGGTTTTACAGCTAATTTCCTGCTAATTTCCTAATATCATTTTTTTTGAGAGAAAAAAACCATCATGGGCAGTTGGTAAGACAACCAAAATAGTGACTCTTACTTACTAAAACAACCCTCAGAACCTTTATGTGTCTCCTTCTGGAACCTCGTTAGCATTACTTCAGAAGGAGGGTTCTATGTAGATGTTCCGTTCTATGTAACTGGTTTGGACTTATCGGATCATACGTTCTCTCTGGATTTCCTTAGCCATTTTGCTTATTTTCTTCCAAAATATTTCGTTCTTCAGCATGGTGTCGATTACCCAAGCAGCATTTGGACGTCGGGACAACGTTGTGTCACGCGACCAAACGTCGGGGCGCAACGTCGGCACAACCTCGTACCAACCCTAGTCTGCACTAGTTTGGAGAATAATTTTAGAAGCCTAATTTAGTACAAACTGCAACGTTGTTTAAAATCCTAATTCACAGAAATACAAAACTAATATGGCGTCTAAGTCGCGTTTTATCCTAAATTGGGATAATTATAGTAAAAATATTATTTTTATTATTTAGTTAGAGACATATGTCAGATGGCAGTGAAGGAAAACAAAACAAAAGTATTTAAGTGTGGAGGATGTTTGAAGATCATAATTATTGAAACATTTTAACCGACTCTGTAACTCGTTACTCAAGGCAAAAAAGTTAAACGCAAACAACTTTATTGATAAATGTATTGTTTCTACTTTGAAAAATACTAATGGGCCTTAAAATTAAAAAAGTTTTAGTAAAACGAGAATAATTTATTCGCAGTCGAAAAAATTGTTTCCGCGTGATTTTTAGGGTCAAATATTTCAAGTTAATGTATTCAAAAAGCAGGAATTGCTATTTTAGGAACGAAACAATTTATTTAACAACATGGCGGCTTTCACTTTGTTGTTTTGGGAGATTAAGATGGAGTAGTTCGAGTAGTCGCATACTGGACTAATAAAGTCGCAGTTCGGCCTTAACAGGTAGTATACTAGTCGCAAGATTGCCTAATTTAGTCATCCTAGAGTCTAGCTTGTGCCGCCCTCTATAATCTAAATAAACGAGGGAGTGGATAAACTATCGGTAATATATGTCGATGTATATTTAAATTTAGTTTTATATGTACCTTTCTCATGTCCCATTTTAATTAAGTTTTTTTTATAAAAACAAAAACAGCACTGAACTGTCTGACTGAACAGAACAATGAAGTGAAAATTTAAGATTTAAGGTTATGGTTCAATACAGTTACAAAAAGGTAGTGACTTGACGTCCTACCAACGTAAGAATAAGGAAATCTAAACAACGTTGGAATTAGTAAAACAGACGACGTTTGCATAACGTTGGAATAGGTTCTGAAACTGACGTCGGAAAACTCTATATTGTCCAACGTTGTAACTACGTTGTCCGAATCACCTAAAGATCACTTAAGCAAAAAAGGTTACAAGACAACGTTTATCCGACGTCGCAGAAGCTTCCTACTTTGCTGTAGTACTAGTCCAACGTCGGCACAACGTTATAAAAACGTTTAAATTTATTTTTATACCTAAGGTAGGGAGCTAACTATTTTTTGTAACTAATCCAACGTTGTGTTTAGTAAACATGTGGTCGCAAGTCGTGAAAATGCTACTTGGGTAGGTTATCTGTTTACCCACTTTATCTTCTACAGCATGTCTAATAGAGCTCCATCTTGCGCAATGAAAAAATGTGTGTTCAAAATTGTCAACCAGTTCGCAGTAACGACAAGTATCCGTATCCCTAATAAACATTGTCCCATCTCATGTTTGGTCTTCCTCTAGGTCTCTTAATTCCTCGTGGGTACCATGCTGTAATTTTTGTGGTCCATCTGTTGTTCGTCCTTCCTGCCAGGTGTCCTACCCATTGCCACTTGAGGGATTTGATTTTGTGGATGACATCTATTACCTGGGTCTTTTGTCGTATCCACTCTATTCTTTTACGGTCTTTCTTGGTTATTTCCAGCACATTTCGTTCCATTGAGTGTTGTGAGACCTGCAGTTTCCTTATAATATCCGTTTTAAGAGTCCAGGTTTCGCATGCATAGATCACGACTGGTAGTACACATTGGTCGAATGTTTTCTTCTTTAAATAAAGTGGCATTTTAGATTCAAATATGACTGAGTTTCTTCCATAAGTACTCCATGCTAACTTAATTCTTCGGTTGGTTTCTGATAGTAGAGATTCCGAGCTGCGTATTAGTTGTCTCAAATATGTTATGTATTCTACAATTTCCTACTTTTTTACTATAGAAAATTTTGTATTTCTATGAAAACGTTTCCAAAGCACCTTTTTACGCAGAGTTTAATGGTTTAAGTATAATTTTTTTTAAATTAATAATTTACGAGTTATCAACAGAAAAATTTATTTTTTATTTGGGACACCCTCTATATTTTTAATTAACTGAAAATAATTTAAAATTAATTTTCCAAAAATATAGCACACTTGATATTTTGTTATAATCCCCTCCGAAATACAGAATTTTTAAAAGTTCACCACTTTTAACTAGTAGGCTTTGGACCCCTTATTGATGATATGCCCTTAATGGAACTCGAAAACGTATTTTTATAGCAAGACGACGCACCGCCTCTGAACGCTGAAATTATCAGCAAATTTTTGCAGCCAATTTCAAGAATAATTGAATAGCCAACCAAGATCCCAGCCGTTGGCCGTCGAGGCCGCCTGACTTAGTGCCCATGGATCTAATCTTATGGATATATTTGCGGAAGAATAAAGGTTCCTTATTCTTCCGTATAAACTAGACAAGAATAAGAAATACTTAGCAGTTATGAGAGGGTATCTTTCACCCCCACTGAGTTTATGAATTCCGCGAGAAATGTTCAAAAACTGCCCCGTCTGTCCATAACAGAAGACGATTGATATGTCGAACACCTGTAGCAAAATCTCATGTCTTGGTTTGCTAGTTATTTTTATTGTTATTAGATATAGTTTAAATGTGTTGATGTTGGTTAAATATATTTTAAATTGTTATAAAATTCTGCATCTCTCATAGCAAATATTATTTTCGTTATGCTCACAACTAGATTTTTTTTGCATTACAGCCGGTGCCGTTCAAAGCCTATACTTATTTAAAGCGGCCGAATTTGTATATACTCTATATCTCGAAGAGGAATGGAGCAAAATATCAAGTGAGTTATATTTTTGGAAAGGTAATTTTAAATTCTTTTCAATAAATTAAAAATATACAGGGTGTCCCATATAAAAAATCAAATTTTCTGTTGATAATTTTTAAATTATTAATTAAAAAAAAAATTATACTTAAACCATAAAATTCTACGTAAAAAGGTGCTTTGGAAATGTTTTCATAAAAATACAAAATTTTCCATAGCAAAAAAGTTCCAGCGATTTGTTAAAAATGCATATTTTTGAAAAACACCCCGTAACTCCGAAACGGTAACAGATATCGATATGCGGTTTTCACCATCATGTTTTTGACAAAAATTGAGCTCCAGACACCGATATTAGTTTTTGTCTATCTCCTATAGAAAAGGGTGTTTCCATTTAAAAGCGTCGAATTTGACCAACCCTGTACATTACTTTAGTTTTTGTTAAATTCATTTTGAAACCTACTTTATTGCTGGCTGTATTTAGTTCGTTAATTTGTGTTTGCAGTTCTTCAGAACTATTGGCTATTAAGACTATGTCATCAGCGAATCTTAGATGGCTAAGATATCCTCCATCTATTTTTAATCCTTTGTTGGCCCAGTCTAGTTGACGGAAGATTTCTTCTAGTATTGCTGGAAACATCTTTGGGGATATTCCGTCTCCCTGTCATACTCCTTTGCCAGTTACTTATTATTATTTATCTCGTACTTATTTAACAAAATATTCCCCGAACCCCATCGTACTGCCATATTGTAATTACTACACATAGATCAACGAATTTGACAAAAAAAATTATATTCAAAGAAATTGACTATTTACATTAGCATTTTACATTAGTTAAAACTAGCATTGTTTATACATTCGTGTATAACTAGTATAGGACAATAAAAAGATCTCGAACTGTAACAATTCCAAAACGAGAGTGTCCTGATTGAGCGACAAAAAGCTTTTCCCGATAGCGCGTTACAGTTATAGAGAAAACGGTACAATATATAGACACTCTCGCGGTGGTACTTTTCACCATAAGCACTGGTACCCGATCTAAATATCCATATTTAAGCTGCATAGGTGTTTGAAAATTTGCCATTATTGTGTCGAAAAATCGCCGGTCCCAATAACAAACGGAATAAAGTACCTACAGGGAATCTGTGGTAAAAAAAAATAACGTAACAGTACCACTCGACCAGGACAAGACGTGATTTGTATGATAAAACAACGCTTTAACAGACCATTCGCGTGCTTAAATTAATAACATATTTAGCTTTGAAGTTTTTAGAGGAGCTTGGTTAGAAAATCGTTCGTGTTTTTTGTAGAATATTTAGGTTAATCCCTCGACACGCTTCAAAAACGAGTTTGCCTGATGCATTTTAAGCAACAAGTGGTTATTATTAAATTAAACAGCTATTTTGTATCGAACAGCAATTGATTCAATAATTGTATTTGCATCTAGTAGAGTTAATAAAAATGATAAATTAATTTAAGTAAAAACACTATCAGCCCAAGATTAGAGGAATGTGTACCTATGTGTACCTGCTCTGCTGGGAGCAGTACCAGGTTTAGTTAAGCCACAGTGGGACCAGCTAGGTTAAAAGGTTGGGTCTCGAGGGTAAATTTTAATACTTTTTTCCTTTTAAAAGGTTTGTAGAACTGAGCCACAACAGGGACTTCACCTGGGAGCCACTCTTAGTAAATAAAAATACAAAGTCTAGAGAAATCGTTGAATAGTTATTTTTTATACAAGATGATAAAATGGGATTTTATCGTCGATCGAAAAGATTAATGCACGTGCGAGTGAATTAATTTCGGGAGACGTTAATGCAATTTTATCGTCATGTATAAAACAATATCTTCTTCTATAACGTGTTACGTTTTAAAAATATTCAGAAATTATTATTTCAAGGAATTTATTACGAGTAGAAAAAATATTGTGCTGGGTTGGCGTTGGTTTCTATGTAATTTGACAAATAAATAAAGCTGTCTCTTTAGTTGTCAGTTTTGAGTCAATATTTTTTAATTTTTTTCGTGTCGATTGCTGATTGAATTGGAGCCAGAAATGGCTCAAAACGAAATAAGTAAATTACCAACAGATATTCAGGCTGAGGCGACAAACGCCATATCCAAACTACTTCCATTTAAATCCCGAATAACTTATGAAAGGGAATACAAAAATTTTCAAAAATGGAAGCAATTAAAAAACGTGCGAGAAGAAATAAAGTTTTTAAGCTATCTTCGCTGTTAAATTATTATTTAATCTACCCTTGCGGTTAAAGTACTATTTTATCTACTATTTTTGATAGATATAAGGCAATTTTAACAGTTGCTGTGGAAAACAATCATTTTCAAAACTCTAGGATTTTTTCAACCGATTTATCTAATTTGACTAGTTTATTAGATTGTCATAGCAAAAATTTATACATTTTTTTAACAACTCATTTTACCTTGTTCTTTAAGCTGAAATATACAAAACTAAAGTCAGCAATGGTACTCACCCGTGTTCTTTAAGAATTTTCTCCACTTTGGCCGTGGGTACGCACCAAATATAAACTGCCCCATCGGCCGATCCGACTGCCACAAACTGACCGTCCGGACTGAACGTCGCCCTTGACCAATCGCAGCCCACTTTGAACCCTTCACAACTAGACAAGACAAAACATAATAATATAAGAATTGTTGTTTTTTTATATCAATAAAATAATGTTCATCAATCTGACAAGAAAGAAAATTAATATAGAGAAAACGAAAGATGAAAGACTTACCAGAAGGAATTGACTACTTGGTTCATTCGTAAATCGATCAGTTTTAACGTATCGTCTCTGACGCAGGCTAGCAGGTATTTTGCGTCTGAAATTGTGTAGATAAATACAATCAAATACACTTACAATGGTAAAATTACAAATATCTGAATTGTATTATTGTCTACATTTGGTTGGCGTACTAATATTAGGCTGGATACTAGGGTCACAAGGGTAAAGGATAGGGAGATGAAATGGTTAAACAAGGTTCATCAATGTCACTCATAGACCCAGAACACATTTGTGGCATTACAAAAGCTAGAACTCACAAAAATGACCACAAAATAGTGGGTGACCAACAAATCTTTAGAATGGCGGAAAAATTTAGTAGGGCAGAGACAGGCGAAAAGTTCATAGAACAATCGACAAAATTTACGATTTTTTGTATCTTTTTATTATTTTTTTTCATTTTATATAAATAAAATAGTTTTGTTACAGTTTAACTATAACAATTTAAATAGTTTTTAGTATAAATAATTGTATTTCATAAGAAAATTATCCTCTCCACCTCAGTATCATACTTCTTCAGCTATTGGTAAGCTCCTGATGGACACATGCTATCGACTTCGAAAATTTATTGATAAATGTTTTCGTTACGGTTTGACTTGGATAATTTAAATATTTTTAAGTATTATTAACCATATTCCATACGAGATTTATGCCCTCAATCCCAGTATCACACTTCTTCAGCTACTGGTAAACACCTGACGGACACATGCCATCGACTTCGAAAATTTATCGATAAATGTTTTTGTTATAGTTGGACTTGGATAATTTAAATATTTTTAAGTGTGATTAACCATATTCCATAAGAAATTTATGCCTTCAATCCCAGTATCACACTTCTTCAGCTATTGGTAAACTCCTGATGGACACATGCCATCAACTTCAAAAATTTATCGATAAATAATTTTGTTACAGTTTAACTATGATAATTTAAATAGTTTTTAGTATAAATAATTGTATTTCATAAGAAAATTATCCTCTCCGCCTCAGTATCACACTTCTTCAGCTATTGATAAACTCCTGATGGACACATGCCATCAACTTCAAAAATTTATCGGTAAATAATTTTGTTACAGTTTAACTATGATAATTTAAATAGTTATTAGTATAAATAATTGTATTTCATAAGAAAATTATCCTCTCCACCTCAGTATCACACTTCTTCAGCTAGTGGTAAATTCCTGATGGACACGTGCCATCAACTTCAAAAATTTATCGATAAATAATTTTGTTACAGTTTAACTATGATAATTTAAATAGTTTTCAGTATAAATAATTGTATTTCATAAGAAAATTATCCTCTCCACCTCAGTATCGCAGTTCTTCAGCTATTGGTAAGCTCCTGATGGACACATGCCATCGATTTCGAAAATTTATCGAAAAATGTTTTTTTTATAGTTGGACTTGGATAATTTAAATATTTTTAAGTATGAATAACCATATTCCATAAGAAATGTATGCCCTCAATCCCAGTATCACCCTTCTTCAGCTATTGGTAAACTCCTGATGGACACATGCCATCAACTTCAAAAATTTATCGATAAATAATTTTGTTACAGTTTAACTATGACAATTTAAATAGTTTTCAGTATAAATAATTGTATTTCATAAGAAAATTATCCTCTCCACCTCAGTATCACACTTCTTCAGCTATTGGTAAACTCCTGATGGACACATGCCATCAACTTCAAAAATTTATCGATAAATAGTTTTGTTACAGTTTAACTATGATAATTTAAATAGTTTTCAGTATAAATAATTGTATTTCATAAGAAAATTATCCTCTCCACCTCAGTATCACACTTCTTCAGCTATTGGTAAACTCCTGATGGACACATGCCATCAACTTCAAAAATTTATCGATAAATAATTTTGTTACAGTTTGACTTGGATAATTTAAATATTTTTAAGTATGATCAACCATATTCCATAAGAAATTTATGCCCTCAATCCCAGAATCACACTTCTTCAGCTATTGGTAAACTCCTGATGGACACATGCCATCAACTTCAAAAATTTATCGATAAATAATTTTGTTACAGTTTAACTATGATAATTTAAATAGTTTTCAGTATAAATAATTGTATTTCATAAGAAAATTATTTCAGCTATTGGTAAGCTCCTGATGGACACATGCCATCGACTTCGAAAATTTATCGATACATGTTTTTGTTACAGTTTGACTTGGATAATTTAAATATTTTTAAGTATGATTAACCATATTCCATAAGAAATTTATGCCCTTAATTCCAGTATCACACTTCTTCAGCTATTGGTAAGCTCCTGATGGACACATGCCATCGACTTCGAAAATTTATCGATAAAGGTTTTTGTTACAGTTTGACTTGGATAATTTAAATATTATTAAGTATGATTAACCATATTCCATAAGAAATTTATGCCCTCAATCCCAGTATCACACTTCTTCAGCTATTGGTAAACTCCTGATGGACACATGCCATCAACTTCAAAAATTTATCGAAAAATAATTTTGTTACAGTTTAACTATGATAATTTAAATAGTTTTTAGTATAGATAATTGTATTTCATAAGAAAATTATCCTCTCCACCTCAGTATCACACTTCTTCAGCTATTAGTAAGCTCCTGATGGACACATGCCATCGACTTCGAAAATTTATCGATAAATGTTTTTCTTACAGTTTGACTTGGATAATTTAAATATTTTTAAGTATGATTAACCATATTCCATTGCAGAAGTGTACAGAAAATATCGTCATTGTTTAATGTGCCTAATTCTGAATAGGCTTTTTGCAAAGTGACTGAAAATAGATGTTTTTTTTTTGTAAAAATTCCTTCTTTTGTGTAAACAGCCGGCGTTTTTTAACATGCCTAGTCTTTTTGCAAAAAGCCGGATTATTCTATGCGCCTGCGACATATACATACTTATTTTTTAATACTACATACTTTTTATTTTTCTTTAAATTTCTTAGAGTCTGAGTTTAATGTAGTTTTCCTAGTAGAATTTTGTATTTATGAATGGAAATGTATATAAATGGATCTAAAAATGGAAGCGCCACATCGTCGAAGATCCGAGGAATAAAGAATAATTAATAATTTTACGCACGTCGTTTGTGAGCATGCCATAATCGCTGATTATGATGCAGGCATAATAAAAATGAGGTAATTGATTTGTTTAGCATAATTATATATCTACTAAATTAATTTTGTATGCGAAGTCATTGACGTTCTGTCCAAGTTTACAATTTTATACTCTTCATTTTTTTACCGAATGGCAAAAAGTAAATGTTACCTCTAGTTAGGTCTAAAGATGTTACTTTTCCATTAAGAACTATATTGTTGGCACTAGATTCGGACCTGCTGTCCCAGAAACGGACAGTCTTGTCAAAATGGCCGCTGATTATGGAGCTGCCAGCGTTGTCAACGGTCACTAGATCGTTACAACTCGAACCGGCAAATTTGGTTTCAGTACCTGAAAAGAGATAATTTAATTATATTATTAATCCACATTTTTAATCCATTTTAACCCACATTAAACCAATGTTTGTTGTCCAGTGAACAAACAAAAAAAATTAATATACAAAATACCATGCTAATGTGATAAATTTTTTAAAGTATTTAGGAAAGGGCGATTTTCACAAATTTAAGATTTGTCAGCATTCATGGAATACAGGGCACAGAGTAGATTTTAATAATGCAAAAATTTAGACATTCTAAACAAAATTCTAAACAAAAAATAAAAAAGGCTTTTTTAATACAATCTAATAAAAATAAATGTATTGTCCAGGCATCTGTATAGGTTAGTTTTGGTTAATGTATGGCAATCGCTTCTTTGATTTTAATGAACATAACACAAATAAACATAACTTAAGTAAAAATTAAAAACAAATTAATATAATCATACAGATAGTTTGAGTTTTTTTTTCGGTTTTACCTCAATAAGTAATTATTTTTATCATGTAGTAATTGTTAATTTTGAAGTTTAACTTGATATTATGTCATTTTAACAGAACGTCAACGGTTTTTATAGACGTATCTGTTGAAAAAATCTAAAATGTTCTTAACTAGTTGTATTTAGATATTTAAAAAAAATTCTTTGTTCTTTAGGTTTTTTTTTGCTTCCGACGATGGGAATTCGAGATTTACTTCCCGACACGTTAATCATTTTTTATAATTTTTAATGGTAATGCTAATAACGGCTCGTTTAAGTTTTTTTTTACAGTTAAACAAAAATTTTGAAATATGTAATTAATCTACGACTTACAAGCTCTATTCTTTAAATCCCAGATCTTTAACGTTCTGTCGTGACTCCCTGTGACTATTTTCGAGGCGTCTCCCAAAAATTTAGCTGCCAGGACCTTGCCAGAGTGTCCTGTTAACGTATGCTGTAAAAAAAAAGAAACATATTAGAAAAAATGTCTTATTTGAATCTCATGGTTTGTACGTTATCAAAATTAAAAGTACTGGTAAAATTCAATACTTATGAAATAAAGATTATAACTTTTTTTAATATTAATAAAAGGCACGTGTGTAAAATAAATAAAGTAAAGATTTCAGTTAACGTCTCCTTTTTGCTGTCAGGGCTAATCTGGACGGGGCCTATTTTGTTTACGCGGAATCAGAACCGCGGTCCTCGGCCATATCATGGTCAATAGCCTATCGACCTGGCTAGCGTCTAAATCGACTCTTACTCACGAGATATCCGATCTCGAACCGGCGTGAATGAGCAGTGTGTGTCAATAGATTTGACACTTTTGCCTTTTTTTAGACAAAAGGACGATACAGAGTTTCGAACCGGTCACCCGTCCATCCACCAGTACCGCCTTACGTCGCTTAACTTCGATGTTCTAATGAGAACTGGTGTTTGGACTTAGCTGGGCCGTTGCGATGTATTTAGCTCCAGCCGTCGCGATTCCGTCGCGCGTCGGTCGCCAACCGTAGTAACTGGCACTGATATGTACGTAGCGTCGCGCGTGTTCGCTCCAGCCGTCGCCGTCGCGCTCCTAGAGCCGTAGTTCCGCCTGTCGCGAACAGTAGTAACTGGTAACTGCAGTAACTGATTATCGACGCTCGACCTCGGCGGCGACGTAACTTCGCTTCAGCCGTCGCGCTCCTAGAGCCGTGGTTCCGTCTGTCACGGACAGAAGTAACTGATGGTCCCTGCTGTAACTAGGTTTAGCCTGTCGCGATTTGGTCGGTTACTATTGGCGTTGGTGCTTCCGTCGCTACGTTACTTTCGAAATAGCGATTTTTGGTATGTACTAGGCATGTTATAAAATAGCTTTGAAAGATGAAACGCAAAAGCAAATAAAATAAAATAAAAATATTTTATTTGCTTTTATACATTTATATAAGTTTTATTGTTTATATCTAATTTTAAGGTTAGGTTAGGCCAATAAACATTTTTTTGACAGTGGTTTGGACTTTGTTCTTGATTTTAACATTAAATATATTATATTATATATTTATCTATACTAATATATAAAATCCTTAAGTGACTGACATACTGATTAATCACGATCCTGCTCAAAGTAACTCACTCAACGTAAGAAACTCAATTTTGGCATACAGGTTGATTCTAGGGTGTAGAGGTTCGATAAGAAGGGCTTTTTTAAAATTCCAATTCCAAGGGGGTGAAACCACCCCTCAAATATTACAATATTTTTTATTTAAAAAACGGTTAAGTTTCCGAAAAAAACGCTTAAACACGTATATTTTATTTTGTTTTTTACATATTTTAAGATTTTTTAAAAATGTATACAGGGTGTTTCGAAAAATCTGGTCATTGATTAACCACGATCCTGCTTAAAGCGCTTGACGTAAAAAGCTCATTTTTTGAAAACGGATTGAATTTAGGGTGTAGAGGTTCGATAAGGAGGAGTTTCTCAAATCTCAAATTCAAAGAGGGTGACACCGCCCCTCGAATATTACAATATTTATTATTTAAAAAACGGTTAGTCTTTCAGGAAAACGCTTGGACACGCATAATTTATTTTGTTTTTTTTACATATTTTGAAATTTTTTAAAAAATCATACAGTGTGTTCCAAAAGTTGGGTAATTGATTAACCACGATTCTGCTTAAACTGCTTGACGTAAAAAGCTTATTTTGGCGGGCGGATTTTCGAAAGATCAAATTCTAACGAGATGAAACTACACCCTCAAATATTACCAAGTTATATTTATAATAATCGCCATATTGTTTTTCTCATGCTGCATAAACACATGAGAAAATTTTATCAGTTTGTATGTTAATGGCAATTCTTGCTTTGTTTATCATCACCATTACAAATGATTAATTCATTGAATGAACTCGCGGGTACACGCTAGTATTATATATTTATGCAATACACATAAATATGAGCCTTTGATTTTATTTAAACGAAAATTGATGGAAAATAACAAGGAATGTCATCGTTTTTGGAAAATGAGTGGCGGATAAAAGTTACATTAGTCTACAAAAATATAGATAACTTAGATATATTTTTAGCGAGGACCGCGACACTTTGGAAGTCTGAACCTCGGTTACAAAATCGCGGTATTTTTTCGGCACGGTCGCTATTGTAACGCGACTGATGTGGAACCAGTATTCCCATCACTACTTCAAATACCGTAAAAAAATAGGCCACACTAGCTATAGTTACAGCTATTCATGTATCTTTCCCATTTTACTATGGCCGTAAATATAATTAGCGAACCATCAAGAAAAAAAGATTAGAAATTTTTCGCAAAATCGTGCGAAAAAGCTAATTAAATATAGTTCCCCGTGTGGCTTTTTCCCTACGTCCGTAAATCCATCTCGATCTAAACCGTTTAACTACGCCGGCGAGAAAAAAAAATGGTAAGAAAAATCCCATTACTCTATAATTACCAGGCTAACTGTAAGACAAGGCTAATTCCGCTTTTAAGTGATTCCATGCCCATTTTTTTTCAGTTTTACGGCTTTTATGAGAACGCTATAACGTAACCCATGAATCAAAATATAGTTTTTTATATCTTTAGGATGCTGGCTTAATATTTTTTAATGTGTGGCAATTAATAATATACACGTCGGATATACACGGTGGTACCGTAAACTTCGGCAGCATGTTCTGCAGATAAAAATGTTCGTATAAATGTATGTCCTAAATGCTTACCATTATATAAATTTGGTTACTTAAGGTTGCGTAAATGAGTTTGGGTTATTTAAAATACCAATTTTAGTGTTTCATACAACTAAAGGTGATACAGATCACCATTAGAAATGCCGGGGTGTTTATGGCTACTTTTAGTCACCCAGAAAACCTTTATGTAACCCAAGGTGTCGACTGTAGCGACTCCCTGCGAACGAAGTTTGACATTAAGCAATTTGATAGAAAATGTGCAGAAAACAAAACATAACCTCATAAAATTTAAATAATACTGTTTTGGTTCAATTTGATCTGTATTTAAAGTGGTAGGAGTTCTAGGGTCCTTTGGTACTTTGGTAGAACAGTTAGGAATGAATTGACTATAGAAAAAAGCTCTTTAAGTGCAGAATGTGTAATGTTAAAGCGCAAAGCTCATTCTCTTATGTTATGCATTCTTTAATGCCTTAACAAGGCATCTTCCTGTTCCTGATCGTTTTGGCAACTTTCTGTTGGAAATATCTCAGATTGATCCTGATCTCTGCTTGTGGATGGTAAATTTGCATGCTGGCTTTCAATATTGGTAAATGTAGTTTGAATGAGGTTTGGATTATTCCTATTTTTTTAAAACTCTGAAGAACCTTTCTTTTGAACGTAGATGTAGTTTTGTGTTTTGTCCAGTTTATTTTTTTATTATTTATTATAATACCGAATTGCTTTGCTTGCTAATATATTATTTGTTTTGATTATATTAAAAATTTGAGGTTATGTCATTAGGTTTGATATTCGGCAACTACAGGTTATATAAAGCATGCAACCATTTGAAAGGTACAAAAAAAACGATTTGAGGGAACAATTATATAACTTGTAGTGTTATTGGTTACATAATGGTTCTTAATAACACCTTTAATTATATAGTGTATATCTTGCGTACCTTTCTAACACCTAATACCAGAAGTTATATAAAATAGATGTGAACACCTTTATAAAACCTTCCCGATGTAAAGATGCCAGGTTTACACATTGTAGTCAACACGTATGCACAAAGGTTAAACGTCCGCCTCACAATGTAGCCACAGTATAGCATTTACGTATACACAAAGTAAGAGATACACAGTGTGCCGTAGATACACAGTGCTTGTGTATTACGTCTAAACTCTGTTTACACATTGCAGTTGTGACTACCGCGTGTATACGTATGTATTTTGCTTCGTATATCTTGTGCTAGATAAAACTACTTCTTATGAACGAATTTAGGAAATAATACAAGTTTTGATGCCTAACTTTTCGTTCTTTTTAAGAAATATTTATTCAATGATACCAATTATATCTTTTTAGAACGAAAATTAGAAAGACAAAACTTTGTATGTTCCAAAAGTATCTCGATCGTAAGTTCAAGAGAAGTAGCCTTAAAATTGTTCCATTTTTGTTTTGTATTAAATGTACCATTTTTCTTCCATAAAATGTATTAAGTGGTTAAAAAATAAAATTATTATATTTCTTTATATCATGGAACGCAATAGCGCAAATAACAAAATAATAATAATTATTTACACTGCAGAAACCAGAAGTAAGAAAACACTGTAAAAGAACAGAATTTATATCAAAATGTATTAAAAATATAAGTACCTAGTATAACAACATACTAAAATGGTAAACACTGGTATATCGCCACGATTTGGTGGACCTCGTTTAGTCATTTTTTTCTCCTCTTTTCTCTCCAAGCAATTGGTTTGTTAGCATACTCATTCATCGAGCACTCTGTTGGACTTTGTTGTATTTTATTTCCAGATTGACAATCTCACCCTTAAATTTTATATAAAACTGATTATTGAATATTAAACATATCTGTATATTGATCCATCAATAACTTACCGAATATCAGTGTAAGAAGTTCTGGGAAGTGTTTAAATCTTTCTATCTCTGGTCCATTTAGATTTTTATTATTTCCAAATTAAAAAAAATATATTGCAGAGCTAACCTCTTTATCATTATACGAGAATATTTAGAGTTTTCATTCATTGGAGTCAAAATTTGGTAAATTGGGTATCGAGTAAGGGAAGAGTCGCTGCTATAATATTAAGGTTAGGTTAGGTAGGTTTTAAGGTAACAAGGTAATTAAAAACTTGTGCTTACCTTAAAATCTCTTTTAAACTACACACAAACAGAACATTTATATAGAGCTTCCGAATGATAAAACAATAATGGCTGCTAACACATACAACTCCTAGAAAGCACTTGGTCGGTGTATCTACGCTGAGGCTATCCGCGCGTGCGCACA